GTACGCACATGCATGTGCGTGTGTATGTGTGTGTGTTTGTTCATTTGTTTGTTGTTAATTATTGTGTCAATCGATCGGACGCCTTTCGGCACTCATTGATAAGATTTCCCCCAATTGCCAGCCCATCTCAGTTTCCAGTAATCTCGCCCAGAGCCAAAGCTTTCGCTCGATTGCCACAGACTTTTTTTAATTGCCAGCCCAAGCTTAGCTTATTCGATAGCTTTCACATGAACCAAAACGACTCAACAGGTTACAGACAAACAAAAAGAAATTACAACTATTGCAAACTAAGGAGATGGAAAGAGACTTTGCCATCTTTTGCCTTCGTATGCAATTCTGGCTTAAAGCCATTTAAAATTACTTTTTTAATTAAACGCACATGCGGCACTTCAATATAGTGGCATAAATTAAAAAAGTCAACATAAATAAACAGCCAGCAGCGACTACGCCGCAGCTGTCATTGCCAGCAGGCCCGTAAACCTCTTCCCCATCACCTACACCCCCCGCCCTGTGCACAAAGTGGACAAAGTTAATCGTTTGCGACAGAGACCGGGTCGTTGTTTGCATCCACTAAACAATAACAAGATTTCTACTAACGTCTGCAATTCTGTTCTTGGCCCAGACAATTCATATCGAAGGAGGAGGCGGACATCGAACACTTGGAGCAGAAGCTCGAGAAAATTATCAAGCTATGCAATGTGGCTGTCGACTCGGGCAAGGAGTATGTCAAGAACCAGAGGTAAACTGCGCACTTTTCACTCTTACTCTCTAGTTTTATCTTCATTTTAATTTTACGTATTCTTTTTATTACTCAGCGCCTTTGCCATGTCCCTGTGGGATCTGCAGCAGCATTTTCTCGACAATAAAAATGCGCACAATGCGCTGGGCAAGCTGATTCATTGCTTTCAGGTGCGTCGCCCATTGCAGGTAATTACGCGAAAGACTTTTATATTTATCTGGTGGCGTTTTTTTTTTTTGCTGTATATTTTGACAGGAAATGAATAAGTTTCACACGATACTGTTAGATCAGGCAAGTCGAACGGTGTTGAAAAATCTCAATGTGTTTGTCAAGGACGACATTAACCAGGTCAAGGACTACAAAGGCCACTTCTTGAAAGTCTCGGAGGGCTATGATAATGCGCTCATTAAAAACGCACAGGTGCGTCCAGTGCAGTGCCCTCTATGTGTCCATCTTAAGAAGTAACTCTTCTTCTCCATCCCCAGGCGAGCAAAAATCGACCACAGGAAGTCCAGGAGGCAGCCAACATACTCTCCGCCTCCAAGTCTTGCTTTCAGCACACGGCTCTGGACTATGTGAACTATATAACGCTGGTGCAGGCTCGCAAGGTGCCTTCCATACTTTCGACGGTGAGTGTTAAAAGTCTAGTCCATAAATTCAATGATATATGTATAAGCAACCAAGAGGTTGCTTCTGAGGTAAAATAAACCCAACTTTTACAATTTAAAATAGAATTAAAATGATTTCATAGGACTTATAAGTACTCAAAATGTGTTTTATATACATACACATACATATGTTTGTGTAGTTTTTGATTGAGCTGACAAATCAGACAGATTGATTTCATAAACTACGCTATTCTTAGCAGTAGTTCAAAGAATAATGAGGCTTAAATTGTAAATTATTCAGATTGAGGAAATCAGCAAAAAGCACACAAAGTAAGGCCTACCTATAGTAAATACTTAAGATTATTGAGATTATTATTTGGCGAAACATTATTTGATACTTATTTGATATCTACGGCTCTTATCGACATTTGGTAAGGCGATATGTTTACTGTGAATGAAATGGCATTGTCTTCAACAACAAAAATCAACAACAATTGTACTTATGACGTCATGTTCGCGATATACCTCAAATGGATATATATAGTCTGTTATTTTTTATTTTTAATTTTTTTATTATTTATTTTGCTCTATATCGCTGGCTCATTGATCAGCGTTGAGTCAGTTGGCACCCGGCAGCAGTTTTAGTCGGTTGTGAAGTGCCCTCGTTGAAGGTTCGCTTAACGTCTCCAATATGGGGCAGCATGTGTATTCATTCTATTCATAAATAAGCGCAATTGTCGAACGTGTTTTTTACTGATCGTCGTATATTCTCTTTGACAGTTGCTGGACTATTATCAGGCGTGCGTGACCTACTACCATCAGGGCTTCGATTTGTGCAACGACTTTGACGAGTTCTTCAAGAATATCAGCGAGGATTTGAACGCGCTCCGCGGCGACTATCAGCAGCTGGAGAAGGTCATGCAGAATCGACACATGAGCGTGAATCGGTATTGCGATTCGAATACGAACAGCTCCTCGCACAATGTCGAGGGTTATCTGTTTAAGAAGAAATCGAAGGGCTTCAAGACCTGGTGTAGACGCTGGTTCTACCTCAGCGACAATCAGCTGGTCTATAGGTGCGTGCAATATCAATATGCTCCAGCCTTGCTCATTTCTTTTGATTTTTCCCATTCGTTTTGCTTGCCGGTTGAATCGTCTTCATTTGTTTGCCATTTTGTACTCGTAATCTCATTTCCCTTGTTCTGTTGTTGTTGTGCTTGTGATTGTGATTTGTTGTGCTGTACGCTGAAGTGATTTGGATTCGCATTCCAGAAAACGCAGCAACGAGGACTCGTTTTCGGTCATGGAGGAGGATCTGCGCATCTGTACCGTGCGGCCGGTCAATGAAGGTGATCGCCGCTTCTGCTTCGAGGTCATCTCGCCAACCAAGTGAGTACAGCTGCACCCAGGGTTTGTTATATAATAACCATGATTTTCACACAGATCTCACACACTCCAAGCGGACTCCGCGGACATGCTCTCGTTGTGGATCTCGGCTCTGCAGCATAGTATTGGCGCGGCCATCCAGCATGCGTCCACGCATCACTCACGCCCGCAGTCGACGAGTGCCCAGAACGCGTTGCCTGCGAAGCGAAGAATGTAAGTGTGAAGTAATCTAAGTATTGATAACAGTTCTATAATGAGTCATGCTTAGACACTGGGAGGAGTTTCTCAAAATACCGGGAAATGCACAGTGCTGTGACTGTCGCGGCTCGAATCCGCGCTGGGCATCCATCAACTTGGGCATAACACTCTGCATCGAGTGCTCCGGAGTGCATCGCAGCCTGGGCGTGCATTATAGCAAGGTGCGCTCCCTGACCCTAGACGCCTGGGAAACGGAGAATGTCAAGGTGATGATGGAACTGGGCAACGAGGTCGTCAATCGTATCTATGAGGCGCGCATCCCCGAAGACTGTGAGCTAAGGAAGCCCACGGAGCAATGTGAGATTGGAGTGCGCGAGGCCTGGATCAAGGCAAAGTACGTAGAGCGGCGTTTTGTGTGCGGCATGCCGAAACCACAGGATCTAATGGCTAGTGAAACTGCCGAGGTGCTAAGCATAGAAAGCGGCGAAGCAGCCGACGATGGCGGTGTCGAAGCTGGAAGAAGCATTGGTGGAGGAGTTACTGGTAAGCGGGCGACTCTCTCCCTGGGTGGCACACGCAAGTGGACGGTGAAGAAGTTGCGGCGGCGACGCCAGCAGAAGCCGTTGACCAAGACATTTAGCGATGATCCGAGCATATACAACACAGCAAAAACTGGAGACGAACTGGACGATGATGATGACGAGTCAATAAACATTCCATCAATGTCGTTAAGCATATCGCGGGATGATTTGTTAGTAATTGGCGATGATTTGGCATTGGACAGGTACGAAACTCCCGGCATTTTGGGCAGCGACCAGGAGAGCACTGAAGGCGAGTCCGACACAGAGATGCCAGAGGAAATACCCTTCACTCAATTGGATGCCAATCTGCTGCTCTATAAAGCAGCCGCCGTGCATAATCTTCCCGTGATGTGTATGGCCTTCGCTTTGGGCGCGTCCAAGCACTGGAAGAATGCAGAGGATCGACAGCGCTCCTTTTTGCACCAGGCTGTGCTGTCTGGCTCTGTGATGGCCTGCGAGTATCTGCTGCTTAATGGAGCTGCCATTGATGCAGTCGACGAGATGGGCTACAGCGCTCTGCATATATCCACGGCCAAAGGACACATTGCGCAGGTGTATTTACTGCTGAAGCACAAGGCCGCCTACGATCTGGCCTCCAGTGATGGCAAGAAGGCACTGGATATCGCCGTTGAACAGAAGAATGCGGACATCGTGACGCTGTAAGTTGAGAATTCATTGTGCCGCATTTGGATGTCCTGCTAATATAATTTATTTCGTTTCAGTCTGCGCCTGACTCGCCTAAATGACGAAATCGGTCTGAACGACGAGTATAACGGCGAGGATGAAACGTACAAGGATGTGATGAAGGACTTCTCTAACTTTGCTGCCAGTCAGCCGCGCATGCTGCGCCAGCGCAACGATTCGAATACCCTAGAATCACAGCGCAGCTCTCTAACCAACTCTGACTAGCAGTGGCAGTAGGCCAGCTTGGCCCAGCCGACGACTTACCCGTCGCGCAGTAGATATTCCAATGCTTAGTTGCCCATAACGTATTTAGCTTGTTGCCAACTCCTGCTATGCTAAACTGTAAAACGTTCTTCATATTTGTGTGCTGGCATTTTCTCGGGCACCGCCAACTCGAAACGGATTTAATAAGCAATCTCATTTAAAGGCGCTCTCGACTCTGATCTGATTCATTGCATTGCATGGCATGTGAGTTGCGTATTGGTTTGATGCTTTGTTGACGTTAAATTTATTAGCTTAGGTCGATAGTTAAGTGCACGTCGCGTGTAATCCGTATTTATATAAATGTTTATTGTTTACAAATGTTTAATTATATATACATATATAAATATAACTATATATATTTATATATGTACACGCATTTGCGAATTGTACATGTATATTATGTGTATTATATTAAACGATATTATTATTGTATTATACTAAATCTATGTAGCTAGCTATCTTATCCAATTATTACGTAACACATTGAAGCTGTTAGCAAATGTTTAAAATTTGTAATTGTTAATAATAAGAATTGGCGTGTTACGTGCTAAACATTTATTTTTCGCATACATTTCTTCCACTGTTCCAAACCAAGAAAGATGCAGAAAATGTGCTTGCTTAGTGCCAAACTTAAAATTGAGCACTTGGAAAATTTCGAATAAAATTGAGTAAAATGTTTAAAATCTACACACAGAAAATACTTTCAATTATGCTAATGGGATTGTCGGGATAAAAACTTAAGTAATTAAGAGAGTGCTCAAATACAATTAGAACATTATTCAAATTCCGTTTCATTTCCATTGCCGTCCGTTGCGCAATCGCCGCCCGTGTCCTTGACCTTGTGGACGTTCTGGATGTGTCGCTGCACGGCGCTGCGATCGTTGAACTGACGTCCGCACTCCTTGCATGCAAACGTGACGCCAGCGTGCGCGACCAGGTGGCGACTCAGGCCCGAGACATGATTGAAGCTGCGCTTGCACAGATGGCACTTGTGCTGGCGCTCCCCTTCCAGGTGCATGCGGTTGATGTGCTGCTGCAGATTGGTCTTCTGGGCGAAGCAGGTCTCGCAGTGGGGGCATTGATGCCGCTTCTCGCCCGTGTGGGTGTCCATGTGACGCTTAAGCACCTCGCGCTGCGAAAACGACAACTCGCACTCCTCGCATTTGTATGGCTTTAGTCCGGTGTGAATGATCATGTGACGCTTTAGCGAACTGGCGCAGGACAGCTGCAGTTGGCAGACGGGACACTTGAGTGCGCCACCTGTGCCGTTCTTCAGCGTCTTGATGTGCGTGCTCAGGTGGCGCGACAATGTCTTCTCCGTGGCAAACGAAATGGGGCACAGCTGGCACTGGAACGTTTTCAGCGTATCGCTGACGCGGCCCACAGTTGGCTTCGAGCTGCGTGGCGCCCGCTTCACCACTAAGTCACGTTTTGATCTTGTAGGCGGCGTCGTGACATCACTGCTTACCTTTTCATTCGACTGTTAGAGAAATGATTTCGGTTATCTTCAATTACTGCTAGTTCTCAAATTGGTACTCACCAATATAATGACATTGTCGTTAAACTCATACAACTGCTGATCGTCGCCTCCGCCATCATCGAGATTGAAGACCATTACGTCCCCGATTTCGTCAGACTTGGCGTCCGTAAACTGAATCTCTCCATTGTCCTTAACTGCAAGGGAAAGCAAATGAGCGTTAGTAAAACTTTTAATTGGACTATTAGCAGAGTGCCTACTATTATATGATGTGATATTCTTCTCCTGCTGAAATTCTGCCGAGGAGCTGGGCGTCGAGTTTGTCGTCGAGGCGGCATTTATAATATAGATTTCACCATTTTGGCTTGTCACCACATCTCCAGCACCGACCATCTTTATATCACGAAAATCCTCACTGGCATCTGGGACAGATGCATCCATGTCCGCATCGTCCGTGGGTACTACCTCAACCTTGGATTCGGCTTCAATCATAAACTCAGCACTTTCAGAATCGGATACTTTGGGGCGGCGCTTCTTCTGTTGAAGTGCGGGCGATGAGATGCGGCCACGTTTTCTGGTCACACGCTGATCAATGCTTGTCTGCGATGCGGGCAGAGATATGGGGGCTGGTATTGGTGTTGATTCCACAGTCGATTCATCGTTCTTTGGCTTCAAGTCGACTGGCAGCTCGCCCAATGTTTCCCAGAGACCGGCTTTCTTCTCAGCCAAGAAGACCTCAAGCTCACCCAGCAGCTTGACGAGCTGCTCCTTGCGGCTCTCCTCTTGCACTTCGTCACGCAGCTGCTGACGCACATCATTTCGCACCTCGTCCGCCAGTTGCTTGCGCATTTCATTGCAGAAGTCTTCGCGCGCGGAATCAAGGCGACTTTCAAAATCCTTTTCCATTTCCAGCTTTACCTTTTCCTGCCATTTTTGAGAGTTTTTCTCGTACCGCATTTCCAGTTTTTCGATAAATGCCATCGACTCTTCGAACTCCAGCTCATCTTCATCGGATTCGTTATCCACTGATTTGGCAAAGACGCGACTCTTTTTACCCATACTGACCAAGCGGATGTGCTTGCGGAGCTTCTTATCAGCCGCTTGGCTGCGTTGCCGGAAGAGAAACGACTTCTCCAACTGGTAGCGGCAATCTCCGCAGATCTTTTTCGGCAATCCGTCGGTTGATTTTGCCTCCAATGAGAGACACGCCATTAAGCGCATCGGAATTGAAGGCTGTGTGTCGTCTTCCGCAAATATTGTGTGCGGATCCTTAAGCTCTTTTAGGCAAAGGCGGCACCACGTCTCTAAATCTGGATAACATTCCTCTGAATTCGACATTACTAAAATCCTAATTACTATTTCGCATTGCACGCAACAACAGACGCTAAAATTATAAGGCCAGTAAAACGAGTTACCCAACACTGTCAGCTACACATGCGGCTGTGGCAACCCAAAAAATTAACATGCTTGAAAATGTTAACATTGGCGCGTAGTAGTTTATTTTTCAAATACTACTGTTATGCTTGAATGTTTTAATTGGGTAATAAAGTTATTAAAAATAACCCTTACTATTGACACTGCTTTTCATAAATTACTGTTTTAGAAGATTTTTAGCCTGCATTTCTGAAATTTAAATTGTAGCATTTGTTAGCAAAAAAATTATCCAGTGCTGTAAGCGAAAAATAACAGTGTTTTAAATTCATTGGACTTTTTATATATTTTTTTATTTTATTAAAAAAAAAAAAAAAAATTACATATATAATTTAATATATATCGTAAAATATTGATAGTTATATAATAATAGTTTTCTATTTAGTATTTTTCTTCGTATTAAGCGATCCTCTTAGGCGACATCGAAGACAATTTCGAATTTTTTCATTCTCCGTGCCATGTATTTGGCAAATGCGATCCCTCAATTGTATGCGAGACAGCTGTTTTTCTTTATGGCGCACTCGGGGAGTTTTCACAGGAGATACTAGATCTTTCGTAGATAGGAAATTGGCGGTGTTTCCATACTCTCGCAGGTGACTGTACTGAGAGTTTCCCATATTGATTTCAACCATTGGAAGAACTTTTGATGATGTCGGTATTAGTTCCATAGCGGAAGCACTGCTGCCAGAAGTTGGTTGATGTATTGGACTTGGAACAGTTTCTGAAATAGTTTATTTATGTTAGTGGAATCGTTTTAAGTGATCATCGTTCTTACCAATAACTTCCACTAAGCTCTCTGTACTATTATTCAAATTATTAACGGACTCTGCGTTGGTCATCAGCTCGGAGCTAGAGCCAATTTGGTCCGTGATAGTAGATGCGCTCTCCATCTCAGCAGCGTCCATGTCTGACAAAAAGCAGTCTGAGTCAAATGCCTGGGAACGAGCTACACTGTTACGCTTGTGGACAAACCAAGTTTCAATCTCATAAAACAGATCGTCCAACACTTTTAGCTGACATTTCTTTTTGACGTCCGCGATTATGAGGTTCTCCACTTCATTACGGACTTGCTGCTCGATCTCCTCTCTCACTTGTTGCTTGCACACAACAACTAAGTCACTCTTGTGGGTGTCTATTTCACGTCGAATCATCTGAGCTGCCTCTCTGCGCCAACGGGCGTTGCTTTCAGAGCAAGCTGTTGGCGTACAGTTGGCTACATCTTTTAGCAAGAGTACATCCGACTTGTCACCATCTAATAAGTTACTTTCATGGTCAAAACTCCGGCCAAGGCGTGTCAGCTGACGTAGACGGCGATCAGCCGCATGACAACGTTTGCGAAAATAATGAAACTCTTCCAAATGCAGCCGGCAGACTTGGCAAATGAGTTGCGGAAGTTTGTCGTTGGGATCAATTTCTAGACCTGTGCAGGAAAGGATTTTCACGGCCACTTGGCCATTGCTGATAGCGAAGTTGGCATCTTTCCGTAGACACAGTCGGCAAACAGTTGACATCCTTCTTAATATTATTTTTAATTATGAGTATTAAAAATAATATAGAAAGACAAAACTGCAAAAGGACGCCTTGTTACAGTGTGACCAAAATCGATATTTGCAAAATATACCAGCAACTTCAGCTTTACAAAACAAATACTAAAAGTTGACAAAAGCCATTTGGCAAATTAAAATACTGAAATAAAGCAGTATTTTAAAAATTCATTTTTAAATTTATTTTTTTTACATTTATATTTGTGCGAAAAATTGCAGAGCTTTAAAAATCCAATATACTCAGCCTCTTTTGATATTATTAACGTATCTAAGCATTTCAAATTAGTAACATGAAGTGAAAAAGGGAGAAAGGTACATTTTAGAGAGTAAATCTCCTTAAGGAAAAAAATATAGTTCAACCAATCTATATGAGAATCCCATGCGATACATCCCCTCATTTCTATTACATTTTTCAAAGAATTAATTAATAATCAATGAATTTCCATATGTCTATTCACAGGGCTTCTGTATTAGTTGTAGCTATGAAATTCAGAGAATACTTCTAAAGGCTTTCCCATTGTAGAATCATCACCAAGATACATATGTAAGTCCCTATCGAGTATTGCGCAGTCGATTCCACTCAAATAAAAACACATTGTCAGTTATGAAACAATTTTGTTATAATTCATTAAATATTAAGTATAAATATGAAGTTAACTATCAAGTATTATATACACAATTACAATAAGATATTCAGTCACTATAATGCTTCTATATACACAAAACGATATACATACATAAATATATATGCATTTATATTATCATTTCCCAAAAATTTGAACTCACTTCCGCATCTTCAATAAATATATGCATTAATATCTTTTTAAAAATATACAACAGTCGTGATGATCGTCGCTTTAAGAATTGGTTTGGGGCCTCAGGATCTCTGCCAAAGGATTGCCTACTTACAGCTAGGTGTTCGTTTACAAAAGGTCAAAGATAATTTTAATAAATAGTATTGATCAGCATTAATCATAATTAACATTGAAATACAATCATTTTTTCTTCGTATAGGCGTATAGTACATACATAACTACAAAATATATTACAATAAATTTGACGTCTACGTCGGCATGTGGAACTGCAAATATGTTTCAAGTATGTGTGATGTGTGTGTGTGTGTGTGTGTGTGTGGGTGGGTGTGGATCGCCTAATCGTGACGCCAGCTCTGTGGCAGCACATAGTCCTTCACCTTGTACAAGGCATTGGCATACCAGTGTATTCCGTTCTGCTGCTGCGCCGTGGCGTCCTTTGGCGTTGGCTTGTCCTGCGCCGAGCGCAGCTGACCCTTGGCTGGCATCCAGGACTGTAGCGTGGACCACAGTCGCATGGGCGCCAGGCCCCAGTGCGCCAGCGATTGGCTGCTGATGACGGCGTAGCAGGAGGCGGCCACCGAGTTAACCACAATGGTGCCCTCGCGCGTGAGGGGCGCCACAACGCCGCGACTCTGCACACTGTCCACCCGGAGCACGCGCTGTGGACGCAGCTCGCCCGTGGCATCGTGCACCAGCACCTGGCTCAGCTCCTCCACGCGATCCGCGAAGACAAACTCGAGCGTCTGTCGCTCCGCCTGCCACACGGCTATCAAATGCGCGGGCGTCACGGTGAGTACGGCGCCGCCATCCGTGTGCAGTTGCACAAAGTTCTGCACCTGCTCCAGATTGCGATCCATAAAGAGTATAACCTCGCTGTACACCGGCTGGCCCTTCGTGTCCATGCTCAGCACTCGATCACCGATGGCGAGCTCGCTCAGCGCCTTCTCTGCGCCGCTCTCCAGCAACGCTGTGCTCTCGGGCGTGAAGCAGCCATGTACATGTGATATCGAAGGCGACGAATCTGAAGAGAGAGAGAGAGAGAGAGAGGGAAAAAAGGTATTAGTCAGCCGTTGACAGGAGTGAGAAAGAGGAGGGGAAACGCGGCCAGGTAATGGCATTAGTGAGCCTAATCTAATTTGGCGTTAATAATACTTGCCCTGCCAACCGTCCAATTGCCAAAAACCCTACAAGTCAAAAAGGTTTTCACAGTTAGGACGCAAGGCGAACCGTAATCGCAAACCCGTAACCCGTAGCCCGTAACCCGGCCCAGTGCAGGCAGCCAAAACAATGGCAACTGCCTTTTGCGGCTTTCAAACAAAAACCGCCGCCAACTGCACGAAGAACGCACAAAATGCGATCTGCCAACTGATAGCCAAGCATATCAATAACATGCACAATAGCAGCAGCCACAACAACAACAACAACAATAACTGAGGCAACAGCAGCAGCAGCGGCAGTGGCAGGCGAGGATGTTTTTGTTTCGAGTTTAACAAAATTGTGATCTTGTTATTTTTTGCTTAAAGATTAGCCCTGGGATCAGCTCAACGAGCCTGAGCTCGAGCTCGAGCCAAAGCAGCTTAGCCACAGCCACAGACACAGTGCACCAAGTGCCAAAGGATGCTCAGGTAGAGGCTCTGGCAGGATCTGAGCGCAACCTGTGCACAAATTCAATTACCAAACATGTTGCAACCCAGCGACGATCAACAGCAGCCGCATTAATCATCATCATTAATAGCTATTGGATTACAAGGCAGGAGCAATTGGGCCACCCAGCTGAAGAAAAAACTGAAAATGTCGGCCATTTTGCTTGACAGCAGCGGCAGCAGCAGCAGCAGCAGCAGTTAGAACTTTCTTTTCCGCATCTCGTGCACATATTTCACACCCGAAGCGCCGCTCGTTCTCCGCCAGTTGCTTGTAAAATTCAAATTAAAAAAATAAGAGAGAGAGAAAGAGAGAGGGAAAAAACATTCCAGACCCACAAAGTGACCACTAACCGTGCGCTTTATTATAATGAGTGGTAATAAAAGTGGCATTGTTGCTGCGGTTGCCGCTCAACGAAATTCCAATGAAAATGCACCTAACATTTCCATTGATATTGATGCGTTTGGTAAACACACGCTCACACACGGAGATAGAGAGAGAGAGAGAGAGAGAGAGAGGCGCACGAACACTCACTTGGCCGAGACAAGAGTGTAAAAACAATAAAAAGCGGATTAAATACAAGACAGCGGTCTATAAAGCGCTCCATAATCGATGCTCAGACGGGAGCAGCCGCTGCCAACGGTAACCCTAGACAAAAACAAACCAAAGGGAAGTAACTGAGTAACAAGCTTAACCAGCAAGAAAAATTTGGTGTGAAACCTACAAAAAAACGAAAGAAGAAACAAAATAAATGTATGCGAGTGTGTGTGTGTGTGTGGGTATCCACAGCACATGAGAGCAACAGCGAACTGGCGAGAAAAATCTCAGGCAGACGACGATGACGACGGCGACGGCGGCGGCGAGTGGAAAGTGAAGAACTTGAAGGGTCATAAATTAATAAACCATTAAAGTGGTTAAAATTATCGTTATTTTATCTTTGTTGTGAAGACTAAACTGATAAATTTTTACAAAACAGAG